CATCAATGCAATTCGAACAAACAATTGTGAAATATCATAACCGATTCTGTAAAATGTTTGCAACTTGTAAAATGGCGGCCAACTAATTAAAATCCACTGTGAATGCTAATTGTATATTTTACTAAGACCTGAACGAAGGATTTTTTGGTTAGCAAACGATAGTAATTTGTTTATCAAACAAACCGTTTCGTACATTTTGTCAAAACCAATCTATCAACATTCGGTTTGTAACACTGTAAACGTGCTTCTAGATCCTCTGATCCCAAAGCCTTTATTTTACATGTTTTGGAGTGGGTGGGTGTCCCTCTTTATTTATTCATGTATCAGGTTGCACGTTTTCACAGTTGATCAGTGTTTTGGCTTTTAGGATTCGTGTTCAGTTTTGGGAGTTTATTTGCAATCGTAGGCGAAGCGAGTTGGTTATACTTCCGCATTAACTAACTAGAATAACAGATACACACCGAAAAAAAAATTTACTCTCTGGTGACATTTGTGTTGTCCAGTATATAAATGTTTTCTGGTCAGTGAGATGTATAATTACAATTTATATTTATTTCATTTTAATGAAGGTATGTTGTGTCTTACGCAGCTCGTAATACAATTCTCTAGAAACTTTAAATGAATTAAATGGCTTAAGCAAGCAACACAAGACAACTTTATGAAATTGTTTAAAATGTAAATTCACATTCTTCCTAAGTGTTAAAACCTTTTAACGAATACGCGAACATTAAATGATTTTACCATCACTGATTGACTGACCGATAGGCTGGACCTGGTGGTCAGATAAAACGTTATGGGTTCATCCAACACGGCACAGCTAGGTCAGGGCAAATTGTCTTGGTCAATAGGGAACTTAAAAAGGCAAGACTGGATGACTGAGGCCGTTTGTGAACTCTCCAAAATGGAGATGCGTAAGTGTTTGCTTTTTCTTTCAAAATGTTTCTGTGTGTCAGTTGTAACTGACATTTAAGGAATTTAAAATTTAACCAAATGTATTACTTGTTTACCATATTCTTTCAATTATCGTTGTATGTTTACCGTTGATACCTATCTAAGTAGTAAAGTCTTGCGTGTTCTTATAAACAACAACAACAGAAACCCATCCCTATTTGATATCAAATGAAAATGAATTCACAATCACGTAATTTCTATCTCTAATATAACAAAACATGATAAGTCAGACCTTAATTGGCTACACAATGTATTATTCAGGTTTTTTGAAATGATAATTTGCGACTAAGTGCATGTTGGTTTGGCTTTCTATATTTCTGATAAAGACCCAGATCAGCTTGGCTTTGTTTAAGACGTGAACGCTAAATCTCCTATACTTGCTATAAGATTTTTCACCTCAACCTGTGCTTTATTTTTAATCAGTTTCACAATGTGAAATAACATCAAGGAGAATGACGTCACAGTGTGTTTGTTGACGTATCAGCTCCTGCGGATATACTCAACTTGTATAGTCATTGATTTAGGATATGTATCAATTTTTGTGAGTAAATTCCCCAAAAAATCACCCGTGGTGCGAAGCGGGTAATTTATATTTCAGAATTAACTCAACAGAAAAGATATTGATAATATAAATAAAATAACTGCAGGCTGGCCTATATATTATTATGTATATTTATAATTACTGGTCAATCAGTTATAATTTTACGGCCAGGATATCTATATATTTAAGTTTTTAGCTCACCTGGCCGAATGGCAAGTGAGCTTATGCCGTGGTGCTGCTTCCGTCATCCGTCCATCAGAAAGGGTAAATAGATTTTGACCAAATTCTGTGTACATCATTGCTAAGCTAAGAGGGTCAATTCGTATTACTCAAGGGTCTGGCCCTTCTGGGGGGAGAAGGGGGGAGCTCAATCAGGGAAACGTAGGTAAGTCTTTTAAACCATATCCCTTGAGTATCGGTGAAGGGATTTTAATCTGAAATGGTCTGGCGCATCCTTGGGCTAACGGGATCCAACTTTGTACAAATGAAGGTTGACACACACACACACACACACACACACACACACACACACACCTGCCCTGGGGGAAAAGGGGAGGAGCTCTGTAGGGGAATTATAGTTAACGCTTTAAAATCTTACAACTTGAGTATCGATAACGCGATTTTAATCTAAATTGGTCTGAAGCATCCTTAGGCCAGGGGACAAAACGCTAGATATAAATGAGCGGGGTCAAAAAAGGAGAAAGATATGTAATCTTTAAGGTCGTACTTCTTGAATGTGGAAATGGGGATTTTGACCTAAATTTGTCTGAAACATCCTTGGGCCAATGGGGACTCAACTCTGTGTAAAGGAAAAGTATGGATGTTATCTACAGTTCCCGTTTATGAACAACGTCCAAGGATTTAACACTTTTAATTTAGCAAGTCTTAAAAATATTAACATTGATAAAAATATACTGAAATATATGTACTTCCTTGTCTGAGCCCTAACATCATACTGATGTTATAGCTTACGTAAAAATACATAAACTTGTTTATTGCAATAAAATTCGTATCTTTTTACTATTTGGAATATTTTTGTAAAACATTTTAGACACAATAATCCCCAAACTAAATAAATATATACTTAGCCACGTTAATTGAGCTCTAAAACAGTTTGACAGTTTTTTACGTTTCCCACATTTAGATTATTTGTTCGGTTCGGCGACTCTTGTTAGATTCTCATAATCCCTTTTGTCATTATATCTAAGAAATCAGGTCCGGTCCCGACTCTATCTTTTACTCTTTGTAAAAGATTTATTGGCTGTGTTAGAGTTAATTAGGACTCAGGTGCTCTTACGTAATCTTCCTGTCAGATCGGTGTTTTTCTAAAATTTCTTTGTCCGAACCCACGCTAAGATCTGATCAATCAGCAATAGGGTCCGATCGCGACTGGACATATGTTTTTGTTTAGGCCCCTCAAAGGTAAATTACCTATACTTCATTATAGAAAATACTGTAAATACCCCTCCTGGAACCTCATCAACATTGGGGGCACCTGGGTAAGTTGCCTGTTGCTTGTCGAGCTAAAGACACATCAAATTGGCTCATTCCCCGAATACCAACTCTGGAAGAAATCCTTTGAAGTTTAGTTATGGCCTGTTTCAACTAAGAATGCCAACTCATTTTGTAGATATGATACTAAAGTCAATAATAAAATGGATAGAAAGTTTTATTTATACATATAATAACTGTAATACACATTTAATACAGCACTAAGTAATAGAAAATAATCATTAAATATTGATATTTACATTATATGAAAAAAAATAGCATTACATTATATGAAAAATTAAATTCCTTAATACAAGCCACATTGATACTAATGTCAGCAATAAAATAAAGTTTCTATTCATACATATAACAGTAATACACATTTAATACAGCACTAAAGGATAGTTATTAAACATGAATATAAACAGCAAACCACTAAATGAAGCTGAAGTTTCTAGCACAAATCACATTCTCTATATATATCACTTAAGTCTCTAGCACAAAACACTCTATCCCAGATGCAGAAGCTGTGATGCTGATTCTGCGTAGGTCATCAGGTCGATAGTTCCAGTCTGATAACGGTCTTTCAGGGTTTCAAGGCGTCTGTCGATGTTGGCGTATCTCTTCTTCCGGGGTTGAGTAGTGCCTCCTGCATCTCTCTGGATCTGGCTGATGTCATTCACGTTCTGTATGTCCTTAGACGTCTGGATGATGGTGTAGATGTTCGGGTGGGCATACAGTACTCTTTTCTTCAGTTTTCCTTGCCAAGCTTCCATATGGAAGTCCGAGGTCCTTCTATTGAGAAGTGGTTCCAGGTTGGTCGGTCTCCTTCTACCAATTGCTCTGTGACGTAGTCTGTGAAAAGCAGCACGGGATGTGGTATGTTAGCATCATCAGTATCTTCAAATGTTTGGAACCAGACGTCTTCTATGCGGTCTAAGGGGGTGAGTGGAAGAACAGCAGCTCGGCGGACAAGTTTGACGTCATCGTTCTCACGGTACAGTGTCTGGAGTCAGGTTGACTGGGCCTTTCGCCAAATACATTGAGTGTAATGGAAAAAACAGCCTTTTATGTTGATTCCAGTGACGACACTGCGGATGGCGTTGTGTGCTGCTACCTCAAAATCTAAAAGTACAAGTTTAACTAAAACGATTCACATTCACTGAGGTTTCCAAGTACAGAGCGAAATATGATGATTCTCCAAAGTGTGCTGCTGTTTCATACATTACCCATTTAACTAGTGATTATCTGATTAGTTATCAGAAGAACAGCTTGGGATCGGAACTCTAAATATTAATTATTATTTTGCAATTATAAGCAGCTATTGATTATCTTATTAGTTATCAGAAGTTGATTTACCTGTGCAATTTACCTGTACACTTTACTGCAATAGACTATAACTCACTATCATCACAACTGACCACCTATGTAGACATGTGATTTTAAGCAGAGTTGGTATTCGGGGAAGACCCCATCAAATTGATCAGCCTGTCCCCATTGTAATTTTACAGGTGAGCAATTCTTTTTACATGTATTTTTATATTTTAATTCTTGTATACGGAATTTATTCATATTCATTTGTATGAGATTATTGTGTGTTTATTAGTATTACACACTTTTTATGTTATATTGCATTTTAACATCTTATTCCAAGTAACATGTGAGACAAAGAATTGGTAGTTTTCACACTTCTAATCTTTTCGACCTTCAGATTTAATTCAAGTATGGTAGAATTCTATTAAGTTTTGATAGGCAAAAATATGATTAGGATGCTCCAAAATAATCTAATTTTGGACAAAAACATTATATTTGTTTCTTTTACATTTTTGAGGAACGAAGTTTTATAAAAATTGTTTATACCCAAGCTAAAAGAAATCATTACCTAAAGCTGTAACTTATTATTTGTATTGAATTTGTAATTATCAAAGATTTTATATACTTATAATTATTAAAGATTTTGGTATTTTTACCGCACTTGTGTGTGCCAAATTGTTCAGAGCATTAAAATAGAGTTGAATCCCCTTATAAATTCATAACCTCCGCTTTGCAAAGAAAACAAACACCTGTTTGTGTGCTTTTACCTAACGGATCATCTTGAAATGCATGTTTACCCGTATCACAATGCTCGATCAAGAGTAAGTAACTTGTTGATGTTATGCATATGATTTTTATAATCACTTGAAGCTGCGACCGGAATAAAGACACAACAAATTTATCAGGCTGTCTCTATTGTAATTGTACAGGTACCAATAAAACAACAACACAACAAAACCATTGTAATAATACCATGAAATAGATTGCTACAGGATCAGAGTTTAGTTTCAGCCCTTCCTTTAAACTCCTATAATTTCCATTTCCACGTATTTAAACGTTCTACATGTCTGAACTAGAACACCAATTTAAAAGTCGAATCCTTTTGTTGTTCGATCGTTCTCGGTACGGGTTGTAAACAAGCTAGCGTGTCTGTTGTAAATTATGTATGTCAGTCAATGACACTTTGAACGGTTCGATAAACATTAAATACACCGCTAGTTTACAACAGAGTTCGGTAATATCAGATACTAAAATCAACGATAAGGGTTGGAAAACTTTCCCAAAACTTTGATTTTTTGGGGGCAAATATATACATTTGTTGACATGGTTTCTGGATCATGGTTGAAAAATGGTATGAGAAATTATAGGAAAAAATCGTTACAAAAATATTGCTATCGAAGAGAAATTGTTTGATTGATGTGTTTTTTGTTTGTGTTTTTGTTTCCTACTATACCATTTAACAGAACGGCTACACTGGTGGATAAATCCCAAAAAACGTACTACAATAGTATTTACATAAAATGGTTGAGGTCACAATATAAGAATGCCTTGGGTATGTGACACCTTGTTGTTGGCATCTACGTATTTAGGATTAAACTGTAAAATATTAGCTCCAATTTAAGCTCTAAGCTTGTTTCTATATCCTGTTTCTGTTACACTTGTGAATTTGCTCAAATTGTGTGTGAAAAGAAACAAAACGAAATTAAGTTTACATGAATTGTAAAATAATTAAAGTAGATAGCTCCAACACATCGATATAATACATAACGCAGCATGTCGCTTTGACATTAAGTCGTAATAAATATCATACTCTAATACACTGAGGTAGCAGATACCATACATTTGTTTAGTAACAGTAGTATATTAACTGAATCTAGAACGGGACAACTCGTCCTGCATTGGGGAAAGAACAAAGTCAATACATATGTAATAAAGTCATTTGTTGAGGTCGATTCTACTTAAAATGTCGCGATGATGTCATATCGATACATGTTTATTTATTGTTTATTTGCTCAGTAACAGTGAACGAAGACACACACTGTGAACAACATGTACATAAGTTCCCGTAATAGATTTCGAAACACGTTTCAGTAAAATGACTGCATTGACGTGAGTTTTGTACTGGGAATATAGAAAACACCATTACTTATTAATCCGATCGCAGTGTGTCGACATGTTATTAGTTAGCTTGGAGATAGTTTTCTGATATTTGTAAACATCCTTCGTGTAGACTATTTTATATGGCGATTTTGTATAGCAAGGATTGACTTTGTGAATTTTTTTAAATACCATTGACATCCTAAAAGTCACTCCTGGTAATTAAAATAATGACTGATTTTTTTTTTAATTTCCGGTTTAAAATGATTATTTTGTAAAATCAATATTTTGAGTTTCACATGCTTTTCAAACAGGTACAAGATATATGCCTCAATCGATATCCTACATGGGAGTAATTTCGATTTGTTCTGCATGAATGAATGATTCGTTTCATCAGATCATGAGTTGGAACATTTCAAAATTCATTACCGACCGTCCCATAGATAAACGTTCACGGACGATTGAGATATCTCAATAATTTTATTGGAAATTTCCCAATTAATGAAGATTTCTGTTTTAGATGTTAAACGTTAAGGTAAATGCCATGCAAAACTACACATTGTGTGAATCAATGAATCTGTCACAATGTGAATCAGTTTTGGGTAGAGACCTACTATCGGTTTTTAATACTGAGATTCCAATAAGATATAGATATATATGAGCCGTATGGGGTATTTTAAATCAAACAACGCTATAATAATTCAGCAGAAAAAAAGTGTTGAATAGTAAACAAACATTGCATTGAAAGTCATTCAACTTCATACGAACTTTGCCTTAGATATAAAATTGTTGTCCTTTTAAATATTTTATGACCCGCTGAGCGTCATCATATATCAAAAGTCTTTCCCACGTACTCGCTTACGTACAAGTATACATCCGGGTCGATCACAAACCAGTCACGCATGCGTGACGGATGACACTCCCCTATATCTTGCTCATTATCCGATTCTAGACGATTCGGCTGCTGGATAACCGAACTATTCGGTAGTGAAGCGGACGTAAAACCTATCAATCAGTCATTCTAGATGAAATGGTCCGATTTTTCGTTCTCGATTTTGTGTCAATAAGTAAACTGTAATTGATTAACCAAGAGACACACGGGGATAGCTGACGTCTGGTTTTACATTGCAGTACAAATGTGAGTATCACATATCGCAGATAAGAGTTAAAAAACTTTCGATTTTATTTATTGATACATCTTCACCACTGACGACGCGAATCACGTGGGAAAACGTTAGTTCTTTTGTTCTTTATTAATGATAAGACATAATGAAAATCACTGTTATGATACATGTACTTCTAGAATTGTGTTTCAATATATTATTTGAATATTCAATTTGAAAACTACTTTTTCATACATGTATTTTCACAAAATCTACAATCGATGAGATAATATAAAACCAGCAATGGTAATATTTGTATTGACTACACATTCCCAATTCTTATGCGATTGATGAGTTCTCTCGAAATTTCTACCTTATCGCGCTAAAAAGTCTCTAGGACAAACGATTCAAAAGTACAATATAGTTATAACAGGTTAATACTGTATAGGACCGTACAATGTCTGGAAATGAATTTGAGATTTTGATCACAAGTTTTTGTTTTGGTCATATTTCGAAAAAATCCCCTTTTCAATGCCGCTCTTCTTGAAGTCAAGTATTTCGCTGTCTTAGCTTTATAACATCTTGTCCATTGTGAAATCATAATATTATCTGGAAATCTGTTATGTCATTTCATTCTCTCAATACCTCATATTACAAAATGCATTCCCTGAATAACACGAATGTGATATCATAAACTCTCACATGATATGAAACTTTCGGACTCGTCAAGCTGAACTTGACTTCGACTATGATGTCATTAAAATGTTATACAAACGACTGTATAATGCATGACCTCTTATCAAAGGAAGGCCGAGTTATTGATTACTTATGATCACTGAGTTTAAATTCAGTGTAAATGATGTACATAATCTCTAATCCGTTTATATCGTCATTACATTATGTACTTACATGTGTGTGAAATTCTTAATCATGCTGGCTTTTTATATGTTATGAATAAAAAAAGTCAGCTTCATATTTTTCAAATCGATTCTTCCATTCAAAACAAAAATATTTATTCCCTCTTAATGAATGTTCATCATTCGACATCAATTTTGTCTTTTTTATTTTTAGAATCCTTCACGCTTGACATGGCGGTTAGCTACCGGAAGCAGATCATATACCGGAAGCTGTGTTTCGTTCTGTGTCTGTTTGGATTCGTACTTGACCTTGTGGGTTTCCTGCTGCCGACCTGGGTGAGCTACATCATCGGAGGATATCGGCATTACTATGGGTTATTTTCCACGTGTATCGTGCAAGGTGGAAAGCAGGCATGTGGTACTGTGGACCCCGACTTTGCAAATGGTACGAAATCAAAATTATTGCTCCATGAGAATTTCTCCTTGTCCCTGCAGATTTCAAGAAAAAAGCCAACCTTATGTATTCCACTGCATGATCGTTAGAAGCGATTAATCATAGTCTCCTGCAGAATCGGAGGTTTATATTTGTGTTGTATCCATGTCTAAGAACGAAGACGAGACACAATTGATCTCCTAAAGCATTGCAACTTTTGCGGTCGTCATTCATACATTGTATCTTGTCTTCGTGTCGATGGTTGGTTTTTGGCACCTCTCGTGGTAGCCCGTTTAGCTGCACTTCTTATATACCGTGTGGAGTGCAATGCCACCATTTCCGAATTGTTACATTTCAGCGAAGTAGCACTCCTTAGTGGACCTTGAGTGGTTAATCTTCGTGTAGGATCTGTTCATATATAATGTCCTTATATCATCTGTAGACAGCATCCTCATTCACACCACTTGTAAGTTTTGTTTAGCCTCGTTATCAGTAAACAGTGTCCTCATGAATATGCCGTTTGTCTTTAACAGTTGTGTGGCCCAATCACTCGAAGACAGCATCCGCATATGAACCTTATATTGTTGTTGTTTGGCCCTATCATCAGTCCACAGCAAAAAACAAATCTGTTAAGCTATTTTGAAAATTTCATGAAATTTCCAAACATGCCTAGCTGTCAATTAATCAGCGAATATCAAGATAAAAATGCTCTTCCAGTGGATCCATTTATGTACTGTTTTATCAAACAACGTTCTCAACTTCAATATTTCGGCTTCCTTGGCCTCGTCCGGTTTAGGTAGTGGCCATCTTGCCACCTCATTTCCAATGTAATCGTTAATCGCTTAATTTGCTTTTATTGATAATCATGTATTTTGTGGGTTTATATTGTAGGCACGTTTAAGGCAGGTCAAGCGTTCGGAATACTTGGACTCATCACTTACTTTTCCTCTCTCGTTTGCTGCTGTATTGTCTTCTGCTGGCCACGCCCATGGAAACGGCGATTGATGTATTCAGCGTCAGCGTCAGCCTTAGCAACGGGTAAGGATCAGCGATAGAGAGCATCGGAATGAAAAGCCAAAGGTTGCGGGCTCGAGCCCCAGCGACGGCACTATCTTTATTACTATTTCTCGTCCTATTAAAATAAAAATAGACAAAATCTAATGCAGCGGTGTCACAATAGGCCAAGAGTTTATCACAAAATATTACAACGTACAGAAGGAATTTATTGCGATACGTATCCCGATATATTGACACATGATTATTGAAAGGATCTAAATTTGTAAAACAAAATAGTTGTGAGGAAGTTATCAAACTCAATCACATGGATAACAAATATTGAAGATTCTCTTCTAATCAACCATTAATGAAATTAATGGATGGTTATTGGCATACAATGTACCTGTTAGAAACATCTAGCAAATGCGTTGGGAAAATGCCGTATACATATTAAAAAAATGCACCTATCTTTAAAAAGTTGAAGGTAGGTACAATAAGTGAAAGATAAGTAAATTTTATTGAAGGTACAGGTATCTTAAATTCAATCGAGGGAATGTTGTATTCCTACCTGTCTTCAATTATTTGTGCAAATATTTGATTTAGCGTTCGATAGTTTCTTTTCGGTATCGATCAGAACTATGTATAATACAGTGTCAGTTGGTCGCTTAAATTATTTTTTGTCCTTGTTACATGAAACTTCTTCACAACTTCTTGCGTTCCTTTTCTCGTTCAGTAGTAACAAGTACTAAAACAGTGTGTTTAAAATTGGTTCTCGATATTCTACAGCTATATTTTATTATCAAAACTATGATAGACCAAGCTATGCTTATATATACATGTTCCATCACCGAGTGAAAAATCTTAATATAATTAAGGGAATATAAAAATTATCGAAACCAGCCAGAACAATAGCTCATTAACATTTTTCGATGAAAAAAGTTAACAACACAGCGTTGTCTCCCTTCCACAGAACTACGAACGGCCGAAGGGAGACAACTTCTACATCAAGAATAATTGTACTTTCTCAGGCTATTTCGCCACGCGGTTTTTCTTCGCTGCACGAAGATGTCGATTTGTCAAGGAAGTTTTCCATGATTTCTTTTATACACATTTTCTGTCGACTAAAAGTTTAATATGAATAGTTTATACACCTTCAAGTAACTGCTGTGGAATGATTGATTTTCCAATGACGTAACAATCAATACCTGCTCACAAGAGAAGACAACTCTGTAAAACGCAAAGACGGAATACACGTTATATCCCGATATCTTTTCTTGCACTCGGTATGTGGGCAAACCTGTCCAGAGCGACTAATTTTCATAAGCATTGAATAGAAAAGGTCATTCTGAAAAAATCTCACAAAAAAACCACCCCCAAAATAAACAAAGAAAGATGTTCTCGAACCTTCAAGAGTGCATCTAGTAATGTTCAACATGTGAGTGTAGTAACGTAGAATGAAACATTGGTAAATGCATAACCATTTTATTTAATGTCCTTTTTTAACCAGTTAGTTTGAAAGTGCGAATACGTCTTCCGTGATTTGTTGTTCAGCCAATCAGATGCGGGGAGATATTATTTCGTTGCAGGGTCTTTGAAACAAAGTGTATAGTAGGCGCCAGTGTTGTATTCCACCCTGGCCCTCTAACGATCTTACCAGTTCCATCATTGATGCAAAAAGCCCGTACGTCTTTTGGACTTCTCTCATTAACGAAGTTCTTACTGTTAAATAATGTCCATTGCCTGTATATTGATGATGACATTAAGTACAAACTGTCAATATTGCTTATTACATATTTTTCAGCTTTATTTACAATGCTGTCGCTGGTGTTGTTCTTCACAAGTCATCCGGATCATGGGTCCAGACTCGATTTCGGATACTACATAGCCGTCGCCGCTTGTGCGATATCACCATTCATCGCAATCTTTGCCTTCTACGTTGCGAAAATAACATCATTCCCTCCTAAACAGCAACCAACTATTGTTAGTCAACCACTGTCCATCATCGCTTTGGATTCGGTCAGCATGACGTCATCTGGTTCATTTGAGAGTGACAACAGATCCAGATCGTGGGACGTGCCAATTATATTACGGGAGCTTACAGACGACAATTTACATCAAGTTCCTCCAGAATTTAGGAGTTACACAAGAGAGGAGACGAAAGCCGGTCCATCTTTCTTCTTCAACCATCGCCCTAGCGAGGAGGTAATGCAAAAAGTTAAACTGAGAAATGCACAGAATCAGAAACAACCAAGTCCTTCAGGGTCGCAGCATTGTTTGTTTGCGCAAAATCAGAAACAGCCAAGTCCTTCCGGCTCACAGCATGGTTTGGATGCACAGAATCAGAAACAGCCAAGTCCTTCCGTCTCACAGTATGGTTTACATACGGGGGATCAGTTAAAACCAAGTTTTACCGGGTCACAGTATAGTTTGAATTCGCAGAATCAGTTACAACCAAGCCCTTCCGGATCACAGTATGGTTTGAACTTAAGCGTCAACCATTTGGGTATGGAGGTGGACACCTATAGAAGCCCGACTCCAGTGGAACAGGTTGAATCCGCTTCGTCTTCAGTTTAAAAAGCTGATCGTATCTTGGTAAAATTGGTTTAAGTTATTTATTTTTCTTCTAACGCTAAACCTGACTGTTACTGTAAAACTCTTACTATATAATCTTGGTAAAGCACTCCATAGATAATGCAAGTGCTGAGGAATGGGAAAATGACCATTGTCTTCATCCTAGTGTATTGTACTGTTTTGTACTGCTCTTCAAATTAAATTGTTGTACCTATTCTTTTTTTTATGTTTTACATTTAGTATAAAGTAGGGTTACGCCATGCATTTTGCTCTAGATACTCCATTCTGGAAACTAATTTGGTATTCCATGCCTGGTAAAATCTTGGTTCCTTACATATGTTATCTTTACATAATCACCTTTCTCACCTTTGACCTCTCCTTGCCTGACCCCTATACGTTCCTGAGTTATTTGTCCGATTGTATAAAAAAAAACGTGTATGATATATGTTATGCATCCGACCACTTTTCTATTCACTGTAGAGACCGCATAGCACAGTTGGTAGTGCGACAGCCTAATGGCCGTGGGGTCGATCCCAGCAGGCGACGGGGTGTGACTTTGCGCGAGACACGTCAACATTTTTGCCACATTTTCGTCGCTCAAATATTTAAAAAATGTAATAAATCACTCGTATGACAGAATACACGAATATATTCATTCGCGCTAAGCTCTCGTAAAAAGTCAGATATTCCACCTACTCATGGAATATATAAGGTGTTCAACGGAAAACCTTTGAATATCCTCTATATATGTTTCTGACATTTTGACACGTTTCATGCTTTGTCATTACGAAGTGTCATATATATCCACAATCCAATATGTCAGATGTGTGACAGAACAGCAGTGTTAAATAAGAATTGTTACCATTACTGCCATGGCAGATTTAAATGGTATATATGATTATCGTCGCCTTCTAGGTTCTCGCTAGAGGGAATTCCCCTTTAGCTCAGCGGTAGTGCATCCGACTAGGATGTCGGTGATCGTGGGTTCGATCCCCGGTGGAAGCACACTGACCTCTTTCCTGTTATTAATGGTGGCTGTACTGGTACCGGTCCTGCCTGTGGTGGCAGGGAGTTGGAACCTGGTTTGTTGTGGGTTCGAGGGCGAACACATTTAAAAAGGGAGAGTAGTATGGCAGATTTTAATGGTATATATGATTACCGTCGCCTTCTAGCTTCGCGCTAGAGGGAATTCCCCTTAAGCTTAGTGGTAGAGCGTCCAACTTAGAAGCCGGTGACACACTACTCTCTTTCCTGTTACACTATTTAAATTTAAATTTTATATAACTAACAAAGGCAATTAAATTGATATTCCAAAACGGGGTTTTAATTTATATGGTAAGTTTTTGTTTCTAAATTGATATCCTGTAAATAGTCTGTTACATGTGTTTACTCATTTCATGGACACCAAATATGAAAATCTTTACTCTCACCACTTTTATAATCAATATGCTAAGTATCCTGCATCGATAGTCAGACTGGCGCGATATCTCCATGGTGTGTAGCCATGGTTACATGGCTTCTCAGACAGGTCAAACACCGGACCAGTTCCCGTGTGGTCAAGCTTCTGGATCAGTGTCATATAAGGAGAAGTTCGTAACAGGAAATCGATATCATCAGGAATATCAATATAATGACAACACATAAAACTGACTGTTTTTAAGTATTTGAACCTATCCGTGTGTTTTCGGAGAAAGCTTAGAATATGTCGACACTCCGACACTACTACCGATTTTTCTATCGTCTGTCTTTCACTGAAATCTGTGTTTGCTTGACAGTGAGGAAAACACTCGTCTTCCTGGTAATCGGACGGAATGCAGGACAAATGTGCGCGATACTTATGCGCAATCCTGTCCATGGTCAGAAGACTTCCGGTTGCGTCATAGAGAGAGATGGTGAGTGTTGTTATGTCTGAGGCGGCGTAAAACGCCCCGATTTTGTCGACAGCCAATCGAACCTTACTATTGATATCACCACATTCTTGAAGGGTCAGTCCACACACAAATCCAACTGATAATCCGTCTGCTCGTCCGAAACCCTTCTGAGATGTGAACTTGGCGAAACTCCCCGACTGCATGTTCTGACGTTTGCTTTCAAATTCTACCGGAAGTTATAGAGCATTGTGACGTTGACAATAACAGCAGTAACGAAGACGAGATCGGTTGGCGTATTTTTCCATTCTTATATAGTGATTGCAAGATACCAAAGGATATTTAAAAGTCACACAAGTAAATTTATATTTCCACGGGTAGTCACTTCATCGAGTTATGGAAGCAATGGCACCGTTTTTCCAAATATTCTTTATGTCCCGCATAACGTATGTAATACCATTTTAAGAATAAAATAGCAGTTATGAATTCAACCCGGTCTCATTCGTACGGCACATCCATCTACTCCAGTAGTCCATGGACGCTTGCTCGTTAACCGCACTACAACCACGTGTTACATTTTTAGATCGACACTACGAAAGCATCCCTCTCAATATGCCTTTATTTGGGGTCCCCACCTACTGTAGGCCCCAACCTACCTACTGTAGGCCCCAACGTACCTACTGTAGGCCCCAACATACAAACTGTAGGCCCCAACATACCTACTGTAGGCCCCAACATACCTACTGTAGGCCCCAACGTACCTACTGTAGGCCCCAACATACCTACTGTAGGCCCCAACATACAAACTGTAGGACCCAACATACCTACTGTAGGCCCCAACATACCTACTGTAGGCCCCAACATACCTACTGTAGGCCCCAACATACCTACTGTAGGCCCCAACATACCTACTGTAGGCCCCAACATACCTACTGTAGGCCCCAACATACCTACTGTAGGCCCCAACATACCTACTGTAGGCCCCAACATACCTACTGTAGGCCCCAACATACCTACTGTAGGCCCCAACGTACCTACTGTAGGCCCCAACATACCTACTGTAGGCCCCAACATACAAACTGTAGGACCCAACATACCTACTGTAGGCCCCAACATACCTACTGTAGGCCCCAACGTACCTACTGTAGGCCCCAACATACCTACTGTAGGCCCCAACATACAAACTGTAGGACCCAACATACCTACTGTAGGCCCCAACATACCTACTGTAGGCCCCAACCTACCTACTGTAGGCCCGAACATACCTACTGTAGGCCCCAACTTACCTATTGTAGGCCCCAACATACCTACTGTAGGCCCCAACATACAAACTGTAGGACCCAACATACCTACTGTAGGCCCCAACATACCTACTGTAGGCCCCAACCTACCTACTGTAGGCCCGAACATACCTACTGTAGGCCCCAACTTACCTATTGTAGGCCCCAACATACCTACTGTAGGCCCCAACATACAAACTGTAGGACCCAACATACCTACTGTAGGCCCCAACATACCTACTGTAGGCCCCAACCTACCTACTGTAGGCCCGAACATACCTACTGTAGGCCCCAACTTACCTATTGTAGGCCCCAACATACCTTTTGTAGGACCCAACCTACCTACTGTAGGCCCCAACATACCTACTGTAGGCCCCAACATACCTATTGTAGGCCCCAACATACCTACTATAGGCCCCAACATACCTACTGTAGGCCCCAACCTACCTATTTTAGGCTCCAAAATACAAACTGTAGGACCCAACATACCTACTGTAGCAAAGTAGCAGGTCACTGTCACCAGTGCAACTAAAAGTCATTAGAAGGAATGCTGAAGCGTACAAACATGTCAATTAGAATGTCTCTTGTAACGCATTCTTCTTAAGTTGTTTAAGGCCCTGTCACACTACGACGTTCTCACCAGCGTTCGAGTAACGTGTTGCGAAACGCATAGGAACGTCGAGAACGTTAGAAACAAGTTACAAGAAAGTTAGACGAGCGTCGGCAAACGTTGGGGAACGTAGAGGGACGTCGGCGAACGCTGAGGGTGAAAACTATTTTTGGGTGTGCACAAAAATTCACGACGTTCTATCAAAACGCTACTTACGCGTTAGAGGAACGCTATCAAAGCGCTAAGAACGCAATGGAACGCTAGGTTTTGCTGCTATTTGCGACCACAAATGTCGCCTGACGCTGAGTGAACGTTAGCTGAGCGTTACCCAAGCGTTACAAGAACGTCATAACAACGTTGACATAGAAACTCAATTTGAAGAACGTCGACGTTCCCCGACGTTTCTCCAATTTTTCAAAACGCAATCAAACGTCCAACAAAACGCTATAGTGTGACAGGGCCTTAAGACCCTTCTAAAATTCAGAAGTAGGAAATCATCACAATAATTCTTAAATATACGGACAACACTATGATGTGGTTTTCAGTAACAAGCTAGAATTCTGTTCTATTAGCAGAACACTATATTGAGGTTTCAAGATACAAGCCAGAGTTCTGTTTCAAGATTTCTATAGGTTTATTCTTCATAATAGATTTAACATTTATAAACATTATTTACATTCAATTTCTTTCATAATTGTATATTATTTTCAATTTAGAATTAAACACTTTTATTCGAAGTTTTAACTGCGTATAACGTTTATATATCTCCATATAGTTTCTATTGCCTTTATTTATTCCCAATGACCTAGTGACCTATATCAAATAACCCTGTGGCGTCACTGGAATGACTTTCCGTCAAGACGCACCGCTGGACGACCTTATTGTAGGGATTAAATGGATAGGTCAAGGTCACCGTTTTGGAGAATGGTCCTTTTCTAGCATTCTGCTGTTTCTCATATGTCGATGCTGGCAATTCTCTGTAAAAGGAACAGAAGGAAATAAGTTGGTCATATCGTTTTATAATAACTATAATAAGAAATTATGAATTTCATAATAGTTTTTTGGAAAACTCAAAAGCAACACGAAAAAGTTTCTTCTAAAATGAAAGTAAATTGCAACGTTTATTTAAGGTTGGTGATAACGTTTTCTTAAATACTTGAATATTTTACTGTATTTGAATTACAGGTTATTTTATTTACTAAAATCGCTACGATAAAGCTGGAACGGGGAAAATCGTGCCGTCAATCTATATAATTACCAAATGACGCCACAATGAAATACCTTGATATGATGCTCATTGTATGACAAGAGACAATATTGTATTAATGTGTGTCGTTAAAGGAACACATTGACTATCTTGAAAAAACGACACTAAAAAATCACAAGGCAAAAAGATAGTCACAAACCCACAAGGAAGAAAGACAGTCTATCACCACACACGTCAGGAGAACAGTTGGTCGAGAACGAGGCTAAGACGGACGATTATAAAAAAGACCAATTGTATTATTTTGGCTTAAAAACTCAATCAATAAGAATGATCATTTAAAAATATATATCTTGAAGTCATGAATGGTGGGGTTAGAGGGGTTGGTTTTAGGGGAACTACGTGTACCAGCTGTAACCAATGATCGGGTCTCTTTGTTAGAGAACCATAAATACCATTTTAGTTACAGTTTGGTTAAGTTATATTAACCTGTAGGTGGCCTTCATTGTGCTGACCATGTGCGGTCCTTCTAACTTCCGCTCCATTTGTCCTTCCGGTGGAGCTCTGGGTACGAATCCAGCGTAGCCCGGGCACTGACGAACACTGGAAGTATACATATATATTTGCATGTCATTACTGTCGAAATATCTGATATGGAACGTACGTGCCAGACACATTTACCTTCTCGGATTAACATGTTTTGGTATCTGTCTTATATAAAGGAACTGTAAAACCAGCCTAGATGTTACAATCTACGTGTTCAGAGGCTGACCATGCTTCAGTGTTACGGACCTATTTAAGGTCGATAAAACAAACGCTCCCCCTCCCCTCCCAACCCCAACCCCAACCCTTCACCAATACACCATTATAATATACATACATATCAAACATGTTTGATGTTATTTCCTTGTCCTTGTAAGTCCTATGATACATGTGTCCGTACACTGAAACAAACCGTCGCGTGTGTCAATATGCTTTGATCACACCTAGTACGTTAATCAACTTACCTGTCCGAATAGGCGAACATTAGTATTTTGTAACGTTTGGTTAAAACATATATTCACTGATGTTCACGTCTAATATCCACTGAGAATTCACAAAACCAATAGTATTCTTGGTCTACAATTGTCTTAATTTCAAACACCACTATACAGGGTATACACTGGACACATTGTGACGTAATCAGTTCCCTTCAGTATAAATAGGAACAATCCTTTCATTGATCTGGATGACTCGATATACAAATGAGGGGGACATAGGTACAAATCCATACATAGCAAAGTACATTGTAAATGTAAATATGGCAAAACACACGTGAGCAAGTATTAGCGTCTACATAAAATATACAATATGTTCTATAATTTTTAATATGATACATTGAGATAATTAAAATCATAAGAAATATACTGCTTGAAGAGAACAAGAAAGGTTCCTTTTAGCCTTCAAGTTATGTTTTTAACATATACGATAAACAAAATTAGAACAGAATATCGTTTTAAAATATATTCAGCCTCACAATACATACACTAATTAGCATAGGCTAGAACAATATCAATACTCATAACAAACAACAATCGACCTATCTGTTAACTATGACAAGCATATCTATTCAAAGCGTAAACGTCCAATGTGTGTGTATAGCTTTTGACAGTCGGTAACCTACAGATGGAGCGACAGATATTCGTTTATCGATATAACAGATCGATACACACGGAGTGACGAGTTAGGACGATCGCCAATATCGCTAGTCACAAAAACCTTTAATTGTGAGATCTGTTTTAAGTTTTGTCTTAATGAACTTAAACCTTATAATACAATTAATTAATCTACACGATTTCATGTACGGGATAATAAAATGAAATCATCTTTGTTTTGAGAATCTAAGATGAGACAGATATACTTCATTAAGTGCTAATTAGTATTTATCGCAAAATCTAGATCGAATTCAGTATTCTAAAATAGATAATCAGGTTTTTGAAATTTTCATGATGCTTTTATAATTATGACTAACACTTTCAATAAAAATCTTTCTATTTTTCAATAGATATACGTATCTGGATGGCAGTATTGTGAAATAATAAACAAATACATAAATAGTGTCGACAAATAGGACTTACTATATATTGGCAAGCATCTTCTCCTTTGACATTTTTCGTATCCTTTCGGATTCTTCCCGGTAACCGCCCGTCAGGCTTTTCCTGGAAAATATAGATTTAAAATGCAATTTCAAAATCGAAACCTTGCGCCTTTGTGAAACATTTTTCACGCACGTGTGTATGTGTAAAATATCTTAGCTTCGTTTTATTCCTTTATTTCCTCCAAATTGAAGAGTAACAAGAACATATACAATAGCACAAAGTTAATAAATGCTCAATTCGCACGTGAAATTAAACACACACTTATGCAAAAAAGGCATGAAAATGCCTTGTTTGCCTAAACCAGAATCTTAGCACAATATGTCAAAGCTTATAAATTATTACGACTCTTACAAATATCTTAATATCTGCATACGTAATTCAAACTAAATTAAGGACTCGTGAATAAAAATGTGTAACTTATCTTGAAATTTACAACAAAAGAACCATTAAACTATTGTACTGATTTGCCGTACTGTGTATACGTATTATAACCGTCTAAAGATCATATCCGATTTTTGTCCGTCATGCCGGAAGTACATATAAATACATTTAATCGTAGATAATATCTTCTTTGTTTGAACACACATCTGTAATACTGATTGTTAATAGTTCTAACCATATAGAAGCTTGTATTATGGCTTTTCACATTTAAAAATAATATTAAAGGCTGAATGTACTTTAACTCTAATCTTTTTTGTTATAAGTATTGTCTATTAGATTACTTACCGTTAAGTCTGAGCGTGACGTCAGTAAATGATCAAATGTGTTAATACATAACTGAGGTGTGCAAATAATAGTTCATGCAAACGTATTTTTAAAGAAAAAGAAATGTGAAGAGTTTTGATTTCGCTTCACTGATCAGTTATACGGTCCCGAGGACCGTCTACTACAACTTCCGTTCTTATAAAACCAGAATCGGTCTTTATCATGCAATCAACCGCGAAAAAAAGACAAACTTAAAAATAAAGTATCAACGCAACAAAAATTGTTCATATGAGATTTAGTATTGTTCATATTATAAATAATTAGAGTTAGTATTTCAATGAATTTACTCGACTTGACTATTTGATGAAACAACAGTTTCGATTATCTTCATGACGTCACTTAAACTATATATCGTTACAAGCCACCAATGTAATAACTTTCACTTGAACATTTGCTTGCGTTCTATTTTTATGATAAACAGCTTAACTTTATATCTGTGGCGTTAACTGTTGACTTCTATTTCAGGGAACATGTGGTTATATGAACTTGAAATGTGTATTAACCTCGATTTCTTCTCGGTAAATAATTCTCACTTAGGTTCATAACACCACATATTCACCTCAATGATAGTAGTTAAATGGTAATTATTGAACCTATTACATAAATTTCATGTTAGATGGAAACTCGCTTGAAATCCACTGAAACTATAGAATCATTATTTTAACGAAATCCGTGCACTGAAAAGTGTTTTACACATTTTATCACAGAAATATATCTTTCCGAACAATCACCAACATTACCAATAATTATAAGAGTAGTTCATTTTGATTGTAGAACACTGTCACGCTGTCTCCAAACACAACTCCAGTCTCCTTTCAGTAATTAGTCCGTGTTCTGATCACATCTCCATATATACAATGCTATATTAAAACACCGTCTACTGTGTTCAAGGGCTACGAATCAATTTAAACTGTCGATCGTCTGTAGTAACACTACTGCCTATACTGAACTCAAGCCAATACTAAAATCGGTAGACTTTGTTCAATTGTTTGTGATTTGATCAGATCAGTGAACATATATAGATAGTCACGTGATAAAGCATATCTACACCTCCCGTAGGTGCGAGACTGGTCAACTGCCTGAGATCGCCACGAGGGTCTAATTCTCAATGTGTAAAAGGTTTCCAAGATGGTATTATCGATATTTAATGGGATATATATCAGGTTGTAAATACTACAGAACCATCTAAGCTTACTTATCGAGCTAGATCATTTAAAAAACTTGAATCTAATAGTTCGCTTTGATTGTTTTGTGTATTCGGTGTTTGAAGGGACATTCAGATTAAATCAGCAAATATAACAAATCTCTTCAAATGTCTTCAAATGTCTTCAATACACTTTTAAACAAAGAAATTCACTGTCGCTCTCCTTTGACATATTTGCTGTTGTCACCATATTGAAATATCACGTTACCGGTACTGTGGGTCGTTGGGTCATGCTTTGAAAAATAATACTTGGCTTTAAAAATAGTTTATTTTTATTTATTTTTATTTCAGCGTGAAATATTGCGATTTGTATGCTGACAAATCCGACAGAATAATTACAACTAGTTAATAGAAACTGTTGTCTATTCATACCAGTAAGTTGATAGTGCTATAAAGGCAGCTGTATAGATATTTCTCAACACTCAATATTAAAAAGACGTCAAATAAAGAGTGTTGTAGTGGTACCTGAAAGCTTACATAAAACCGGAACTGAGTTGACCCTGTCTGTTAGAGATAATGTTACGATGGAAATAAATTGGCATTAACGGAATTGTACCAGCGAATATGTATAGTCAGAAATGATTAAATAATGTGTGTAAATTCCATGTTATTTATTATCACGTTGAGGATGTTATATATGTAAGGAAAAAGTAAGAAAGAAATAATGATTAGGAGTTAATGAGGAGTATTATAGAGAAAATATCAGATGAACGTTTTAGATATATAACAAGGAATTTCTGTGACAATATTATAAAATATATATTTTAATTTTTCTTCACACATGGTTTAGACATTTTTATAGATCGATGATATGGGAAATATAAACAATATATAATATAGCTATGTATTATTTCTGGTCCCTGTGATTCTATATACATATGTCTGGGAGTTCGTTTACAAACGTAACTCAATACACATATTTTTGAGGCAATACCTGTCGTGAATGACATATCATTGTCGATATCTCAGGTGTGCTATTGTTTTTCCTGTTGTAATATTAATATCTCAAGATAAAGATTACACGTGTGACATGGTCTCGTGACAGGTTGACTTAACTACAATGTACAGATCAATGTCGCGACATTTTGTAGTTACAATTAACGGTTTATAGTTAACTGCTCTGGGTCATCTTAAAAACGTTTATGAATGTTTCGTTTAACAAACTTTATTTTTTAAATTGCATACGAATGGATTACAAAATAAGTCAAATTTATAAAACAAAAATCATCGCAGGTTTGTGAACACTGAATTTATGGACTCATATTACCAGGCTAAATTTCGTATAACCCGTACACGAGTATTACATGTACATTCAGAGAGGTAGTATGTCCCTTAGGATCAGCTCCTGTCCAGAAAGACGATGATGCTGATCTGCATACATTTTGTATAACACTGTGATGTGATAAGCGAACAGTACTTTTTCAGAGGACACTTATATTACTGTCGGTCCGTGAGTTACCGCCCTTCGTACGTGCATTGGAACGTATACCAAAAATAAACGTAACACACACAGGGGATTGCACGTTTAAAATTTGGTAGTTATCATTACAGTGTGCTAGAAATGAATAACACTACTTCTTGCATACTAGACCGAGATATCCGCATTTCCGGCGGTGCTGGAAAATTCTATCCGACCCACGGGTCTAGATCGCTTACACGTGCAGACGGTGGAGTTATAGTGACCTTTCGGGGTCACGCTATTGTTCGTGACGTCATTTTATGATGTTTTGGGGTCAGTCAGGGTCATTGACGTCACTAACACTTCATATGCAAATGTGAAATGTGCGGACAGTTTACAACTTTACTAGAAGAGCAGCTGTTTTTACGGGTTTTAGGTAAAAAGCAAGAAAGAGAATCCAACCCTGATGTGAGGTAAGGATAATGTAATTCAAACTCTCGGGATAAAATATTGAGCAAAAGACCCTCGGCAAAGCCTCGGGTCTCCTGCTCAATATTTTATCCCTTGGGTTTGAATAACCTTATCCATACCTCATATTAGGAATGGATTCTATTAATCATACAGCTGTTTCGGTGATGCTGGGGGACAAAAAATGGTCAAAAAGTTGGCTAATGTCTTTCAATCCTAAAAACCCCGAAATCATGATTGTTTCTAATACAAATCTACCCTTTCAACCCCAATTTATTTTTAACGATACTTCTATCCTTTTAACAGATAGCCACAAACACCTTGGAGTTATACTAAGTAGCGACGGTAAATGGAATAAACATGTAGACGAACTTATCAAAAAAGTGGCTAAATATATAGCAACCCTTCGTAAAATGAAATGGTTACTCAGTAGAAATAACCTTGAAAAACTATATTTAACGTACATTCGACCATTATTAGAATATGCATGTGAAGTCTGGGACAATTGTGGAATGACAAATTCATCAAAACTTGAAAATATTCAGATAGATGCTGCACGAATTGTTACAGGACTACCTATTTACACAAAAATTGAACATATATTTAATGAAATTGGCTGGGTTCCACTAAGTAATAGAAGGAAAAACAGAAAATTGTCCCTATTCTTTACAATTAAAAACGGTACAGCTCCTAATTATTTGTGTGACACCTTACCAGATAGCATTGGGGATATTTCTCGTTATAACCTGAGAAATTCCCAAAATTTAAGACAACCAAACTTTAGGCTTGAAACAATGCGCAATTCTTTTTTCCCATCAACTACAAAAATGTGGAATGACCAAGATGTATCTATAAGGAATTCGGCTTCTCTCAGGTCATTTAAATCAAATATAAAATCAAAAGGTAAACCACAAAATAAATGCTTTCTGGTATGGGGTTCCCGTAAATCAAATAAACTTCATTGCCGTTTGAGAAATCGCGCGAGCTCCCTTAACTATGACCTATTTAGAGCAAATTTATCAAATACAGCTGAATGTGCATGCGGTAATCCATGTGAAGACTCTTATCACTTCCTTTGTGTCTGTCCCTTATACACCCAGCATCGTAATCTATTAATAAGAGAGCTTCAACCTGTTCGTGATGATTTAACTTTAGACTTGCTCCTATATGGCGATCCTAAATTCAGCATTAATGTAAATACCTCAATTTGACTGAATGTGATTATCTTTCTCTCTCTATCACTTTTTTTTTTCTCCGACTCTACCTGTGTTACTATCATTTACTTCATTACTCTATCCGTCTTTTCTTCCACTCTATTTTTCATCTACTCTATCTGTGTTACTATCCTTTACTTCGTTTTGCTCTCCTTCTTTTCTTCGTCTCTATTTTCCATTTCCATATAAAAACATAATTAATGTATATTGCGTAAATTACCTTATCAAGTTATTGTTTATATTCATGTATTTGAAGAAAAGGACTTTGATAAGTTGGTAAAACTTGTGTCCAATTCTTTTGTAAATATTTATTTGCAATAAAATATGTTTAAATCTAAAAAGTTGGAAATTCAAATTGTCCAGACTGCTGTTGAAAAACATAACTATTGCCGATTAATTAAGTGATGGAACGATTTAGTTTCTTTTTACGCAGGGGTATATTTGACTGTGTAAAAGACAATCGCGATATCTCGGCCAGCTCCGTCAAAGCATGTCATTACATAAACAAGATATTTGATTATCTCACCAAATATCTCGAACTCTTACGAGATGTCGATAACTCTTACCTCTTTACGAAAAGTTTTTCCGGTTGGCCATGCGTTTTCTCGAGCAGGTCACCATGTGTGACGGTTCCGCGCGGTTGCACACAATCCCAGTATATACACTTCTGCCAGTCGGCTGGGGCTGCCTCGTACTTCCGGCTATGCAAGCGCACCAAATCCGCTTTTGGCTCAAGAGTAGTTTCTGGAGCACGGATCTGAAAGGTTCGAGCGAAAGTTATCAGAAGTTTCTGTCTATAGAGAAAGAATAGGTTTCATGTATGTGTAACAGGAAAGAAAAAAATGCACGGCCAGGTCGGGGTTCGAACCTGGGACCTTCCGAGCTTTATATGTAAAGTAAATAAAGTTAAATGGAAACTCGGGACGGAACTCTAGTTCACCTTTGCATCGGATTGGTCGGTTCACACTGCTTCTGGAACATGTGTGATACATCACTTGTATATATATACCACTTGAATCAGGAAAGTGTTGCCTTACTGAGTGGCTTACCGTACTTTTGGAGCGCAATGGTGTTTGATCCTACTTTTGGAACAAGGAGGTTAATCCTAAATATAAGAAGAAGATTGTGGAAGGAGTGTTCAACATAACGTCAGGGATGGGGATGACTTTGTTCCTGACACAGATACGGTTTACAATATCTTTGGGAGGGGTGGTTGACCTTGCTTTCTACGGCGGGAAATATTTACCCTATATCTTTAAATGGTGTAGGTTACCATACTTTTGGGATGCGGATATATGGAGTACTCTATACGCTCTGAGAAAGGATATTTGACCGTACCCTATTCGGATAGGATGGTTTATCGTACTTTTGTGTATTTGTCTGATCTCTGTCCATCTATATTGGGACAGGGCCATTGTACTATTAGTTAAGGAATGGGATAATCTATCCTAATTTTGGACAGGGATAATTTGCCTTACCTTTTGAACATGTTGGTTGACTAAACCTTTAGGACGGAGATAGAGTACATTAATTTAGGATGACATAGCTTACTTTCTAAGACATGACTGTTGCCCTTAGGTTTGACCTGTGATTTACGTGTTGAGACAGAGTGCTTCACCTTAGGTTTGACCTGTGATTTACGTTTTGAGACAGAGTGCTTCACCTTAGGTTTGACCTGTGATTTACTTTTAGAGACATAGTGCTTCACCTTAAGTTTGACCTATGATTTACGTTTTGAGACAGAGTGCTTCACCTTAGGTTTGACCTGTGATTTACGTTTTGAGACAGAGTGCTTCTCCTTAGGTTTGACCTGTGATTTACTTGTTGAGACAGAGTGCTTCACCTTAGGTTTGACCTGTGATTTACTTTTTGAGACAGAGTGCTTCATCTTAGGTTTGACCTGTGATTTACTTTTTGAGACAGAGTGCTCCACCTTAGGTTTGACCTGTGATTTACGTTTTGGGACAGAGTGCTTCACCTTAGGTTTGACCTGTGATTTACGTTTTGAGACAGAGTGCTCCACCTTAGGTTTGACCTGTGATTTACGTTTTGAGAAAGAGTACTTCACCTTAGGTTTGACCTGTGATTTACTTTTTGAGACAGAATGCTTCACCTTAGGTTTGACCTGTGATTTACTTTTAGAGACATAGTGCTCCACCTTAGGTTTGACCTGTGATTTACGTTTTGAGACAGAGTGCTCCACCTTAGGTTTGACCTGTGATTTACGTTTTGAGAAAGAGTACTTCACCTTAGGTTTGACCTGTGATTTACTTTTTGAGACAGAATGCTTCACCTTAGGTTTGACCTGTGATTTACTTTTAGAGACATAGTGCTCCACCTTAGGTTTGACCTGTGATTTACGTTTTGAGACAGAGTGCTCCACCTTAGGTTTGACCTGTGATTTACGTTTTGAGAAAGAGTACTTCACCTTAGGTTTGACCTGTGATTTACTTTTTGAGACAGAATGCTTCACCTTAGGTTTGACCTGTGATTTACTTTTTGAGACAGAGTGCTTCACCTTAGGTTTGACCTGTGATTTACTTTTTGAGACAGAGTGCTTCACCTTGGGTTTGACCTGTGATTTACGTTTCGAGACAGAGTGCTTCACCTTAGGTTTGACCTGTGATTTACTTTTTGGGACAGAGTGCTTCATCTTAGGTTTGACCTGTGATTTACTTTTTGAGACAGAGTGCTTCACCTTCGGTTTGACCTGTGATTTACGTGTTAAGACAGAGTGCTCCACCTTAGGTTTGACCTGTGATTTACGTTTTGAGACAGAGTGCTTCTCCTTAGGTTTGGTACCAGGATGATTGACACGTTACGTACCTCGGGGACTGGAATGGAAGCGAATTCCTCTTGACCAGCGTCCGCTGTTGTGGATGTCCAGCGGATATGGTTGACCAGCTTGTTGACCATGTTCATATCCATTTTCCCGAATTTCGTTTCAAACTCGTGGTTCTTTTCGGCTGGTCTCGCCTCGGTCTCGCGGTTACGAGTTGGCTTGGTTGACTGGACGAGCTCTCTCAGTGGTGAGTTGAAAGCAAGTTTGAGGTCCAGATTTCTTAAAAAAGAAGGAAGAATTTATGATTACTCTCTAATAACATATGTTGTGACGTTTATTAGACATTATAACATTTCCTGAAATCACGTGACACCTAATATCATAATTCATAAGTACGTATAGAGAAAACGTATTAAGAACGGGGAATATATTCAAACTTTTTTGTAAATATTTTCAAATACAATACGTTTAAATTTATTTAAGCGTTCACAAACAAACTCGATAATAATGCCGCTGGATTACTTTTGCCACCTCACTAAGCGCTATTATCTCAAGGTTCTATACTTCTCCTTCGAAATACTGTTGGGTCCCTTTGTGACGCTTAAATTTTACAGGAAAAACGATGACAGTATATATACAATGCAGTATTATTGTAGACAGGTTATTTGAATTGCTTGAAAGTTGACACTGTAACGCTATAGAATGGTTTCAAACCGGGTACCATCTGTTCTCCGAAGACGAATAAATATGCAGACCTCTTTGTTAATTCGAACCATTTACAGTAGATGTGCTTGACATGCTAGTAGAGGAGAGTTATGTCCCTTGATCCTTACAATTTGAAAGGTTATTTTTTTAGTTATCATGTCACTGTTTGAATTGGCTATCTTGATAACTACAATAATATCACCAGGACTCAAGTTCAGTCTAAGCTAAGAGTTTGCTTAGCACGCTTTTTGATCCACTTAAGATTGTGATCTTAGCTAAGTCGAAACTTTAAACTTAAGTTAAAATTTTGTCTTAGACTTAAATCTGTTTCATGATCCCGGGGTCAGGTCCTGTTTTCCTATTTTCCTGATTAGTGAACAATTGCTTCACATGTCGCATTGACAGTATTGCTAAATACCGTTATAACGCAAAATTTGATTCGTCAAATAGTGGCAGTCTAACGGAGATTTATTTAAATCACAAAGTATGTATTTTGCACCGAATAAATAATACTTATATGAGCACAAATCATTTTAGATTTAAAGTACAAGTTAAGACATGAACTGCAAAATCCAGGTGTCGACATTATCGACTTTTAAAATTAATACCTATATGATTGTATGAGTGTCTGTGTCCTATTGATTTTATTAAACGAGTTCAAATATTTGATATGACACGAGCGAGCCTTTTAAACAATACTGAAATGCTAAGGGATACAAGATGTCATATGTTATATTAATCGACACTTATATGATTTTTGTTTGTATTTTTTTTTTCATTTTCTTCTGATTTATTTTGTATGAACAGTATTTGCTATGAATGTAAACAGCTTTACAGCTGTTCCATTGTTTGCGAAAAATAAATTGAAAAAAAAATATAAAGAAAGATAGAATGTAAATAGAATGTAAATCGGGACGTTTTTAATGTCAGTCCTACGCTTTATAAACTTGACAGTCTGTTAACCTTTATATGACCTTTCTAAGAGAAGAAACCTCAGGCCGGAAAGTGATTCATGTTGCTAGACACTTCAGGTCAAAAAACAGTTCTGAATAGGAACTCTTTGTTGCGCTTATGGTTCATGCAGTAATACGCGTGGCTTCAAGTTAGATATCTTCAGGTTCGATTCTCCTGATTCAAAAGTCGGATCAAGCACACATTTAGATTATTCTTCGGTTACAGCAAACACTTTAAAGTCCTTTCAGGGGGTTGACAGAACCGTGAATGATTAAACGAGGACACAAAAAACATAGAAACAGGTACTGTATATGTTTGACCTAAACATAATTATAAGGTATATGTTAGACCTGAACATGCACTGTATATGTTAGACCTAAACATGTACTGTACATGTTATAGACCTAAACATGTACTGTATATGTTAGACCTAAACATGTACTGTATATGTTATAGACCTAAACATGTACTGTGTATGTTATAGACCTAAACATGTACAGTGTATGTTAGACCTAAACATGTACTTTATATGATATAGACCTAAACATGTACAGTGTATGTTAGACCTAAACATGTACTGTATATGTTATTGACTTAAACATGTACTGTATATGTTATAGACCTAAACATATACTGTATATGTTAGACCTAAACATGTACTGTATATGTTATAGACCTAAACATGTACTGTATATGTAATACACCTAAACATGTACTGTATATGTTATAGACCTAAACATGTACAGTATATGTTAGACCGAAACATGTACTGTGTATGTTAGACCTAAACATGTACTGTGTATGTTAGACCTAAACATGTACAGTGTATGTAAGACCTAAACATGTACTGTATATGTTAGACCTAAACATGTACTGTGTGTTTTATAGACCTAAACATGTACTGTATACGTTATAGACCGAAACATGTTCTGTATATGTTATACCTAAACATGTACTGTATATGTTATAGACCTAAACATGTACTGTATATGTTAGACCTAAACATGTACTGTATATGTTAGACCTTAACATGTACTGTATATGTTATAGACCTAAACATGTGTAACTACTATCAGTACCCACCATGAAACAGTGTAACTACAATCAATACCAACCATGACACAGTGTAACTACTATCAGTACCAACCATGACACAGTGTAACTACTCTCAGTACCAACAATGGCACAGTGTAACTACATTCAATACCAACCATGACACAGTGTAACTACTAACAGTAACAACCATGACACAGTGTAACTACAATCATTACCAACCATGACACGGTGTAACTACAATCAGTCCCTACCGTGACACAGTGTAACTACAATCAGTACCAACCATGACACAGTGTAACTACAATCAGTACCAACCATGACACAGTGCAACTACAATCAGTCCCAACCATGACACAGTGCAACTACAATCAGTAACAACCATGACACAGTGCAACTACAATCAGTCCCAACCATGACACAGTGTAACTACAATCAGTACCAACCATGACACGGTGCAACTACAATCAGTACCAACCATGACACAGTGTAACTACTATCAGTACCAACCATGACACAGTGTAACTACAATCAATACCAACCATGACACAGTGTAACTACAATCAGTACCAACCATGACACAGTGTAACTACAAACAGTACCAACAATGACACAGTGTAACTACAATCAGTACCAACAATGACACAGTGTAACTACCATCAATACCAACCATGACACAGTGTAACTACAATCAGTCCAAACCATGACACAGTGTAACTACAATCAGTACCAACCATAACACAGTGTAACTACAATCAGTACCAACCGTGACACAATGTAACTACTATCAGTCCCAACCATGACACAGTGTAACTACTATCAGTCCCAACCATAACACAGTGTAACTACAATCAGTACCAACCATGACACAGTGTAACTACAATCAGTACCAACCATAACACAGTGCAACTACAATCAGTCCCAACCATCACATAGTGTAATTACAATCAGTCCCAACCATGACACAGTGTAACTACAATCAGTACCAACCATGACACAGTGTAACTACAATCAGTACCAACCATGACACAGTGTAACTACAATCAGTACCAACCATGACACAGTGTAACTACAATCAGTCCCAACCATGACACAGTGTAACTACAATCAGTCCCAACCATGACACAGTGTTACTACAATTAGTACCAACCATGACACAGTGTAACTACAATCAGTCCCAACCATGACACAGTGTTACTACAATCAGTACCAACCATGGCACAGTGTAACTATTATCAGTACGAAACATGACTCAGTGTTACTACAATCAGTACCAACCATGACACAGTGTAACTACAATCAGTTCCAACCAAGACACAGTGTAACTACGATCAGTATCAACCACGACACAGTTTAATTACAATAAGTACCAACCATGACACGGTGTAACTACTAATGATTTAATCGTTGCTTACTTTTCCAAGTTCCGATTCTTGAAGACGTATTCTTCTTTGTTCCTGGCACACGTTCTCGCTGGGCCCATGGGATCTAAGGAGAGCTGTTTTTTCAGATGCTGGTCTAGTCCCGCATGAACAAATGATGACATCTGGTGATACTTGATGATGGGCAGGACGTCTGCATGACCGGTGTAACCCTGTTGGTAAGTTGTTACCGGAAACGGATCCAATATTGAAGCCCTTACGGGGTTCGTAAAACGCATAACGTGACAGGCAGTCATTTCTGGCGGGGAGAAGACTGTCTGTGTTACGGTAGTTACGCGAAATCGCGTCAAGCTATCTATAACGTCATTCTATTGTGACGCGCATCGCATTGTCACGTTGCGCCCTTTGTTGTTGGTAGACTGTCGCCATCCAACGGAGGCCACGCTTTGTGACTTATTGAACAACATAGCATGACACCATAAATATCTCACCGGCGGCTTTATTCTGAAAATCGTTTTAACCAGATTTTATAAATGTTAATACTAAAAGGCTGATTATTTTTTACCTTGTTTCAGTTCAGGCCGTGCCAAATGATCAATTTTCTGAGACGCTGGGCTGCTCTCGGTAAGATTGAGGCAATTCCAATATTTTGCTGTATGCAATGATGCATTCGTTAATAAAAGCTGTTAAATGATACATTCAATCTTTGTTTAACATCTACCACAGCAGTACCTTACGAACCGCAGTTGGTCTATGTGACAGAAGAAGTTTGTCGTTGACATGGACAACAGATTTTCCTCCCCCCTTTACCCTAATCACTTTAAATATTGCAGTGCAGCGACTGTAATACCAAACCCAGACCATATCATTCCATTCTAGGCTTGATTTGGTTTAACAGGGTTTCACGTTCTGCTAATATCTAAGGTCATTTAAGAACGTGTCTTTATCCTTTTATGTGTGTAATGTAAGCGTGCGCTCGCGTGTGTGTGCTGAAGGCATGGCATGTTGGTGTAATTGCCTCCTAGTGATGGCGCGGATCTGATGCCGACTTTATAGAGCTACATCATAAGAAAAAAAAACATGCCGAAGACACCCAGCACAACATTCCGCCCGGTCACATTATACTGACAACGTGACAACGGGTGAACCTGTTGTTGCCATCCCCCTTAATGCTGAACGTTAAGCAGGAAATAACAGCTACCATTTTCAAGGACTTTAATGTGTCTGGGCATGGAAAGAGAACCAATCATCTTCCATCCTAGGCTTCTGGAGTGAATAACAAAAAGTGGTATCCTGCTCAAGGACATAATCTCATCCCGTCCCCCGCGGTAGTCGAACGTACATCCTCGTGGTCAACCCCGTGCAAACTCTTCTATACGGGCCCCATCTCTTATAGTTTTGGTTCATTGGCCGTTGAAAAGGGTCGTTTTGTATAAAAACCTCCGTCATGTTCTACTTCCGGCTGAAAAAGACACAACAGGTACATGATAAATAAGACACTGTTTTGTATTTTGAGATATTTTATGATTTGTATTGAATATAATTAAAGACTTTAGTTAGACTTATCACCAGAAAAATGTCCCACCCACGGAGTTTGCAAAATATTCTAAAAGAGTTGACAATGCAGTTACATGTTACTTTCCTGTCACCATAACAGAGTGTGATCATTGAACTGTTTTCTCTCATTAATCCATTTATATAACCCCTTGGATACTTTTATATTTAGCGTTGACACCTCTTATTTAACCTACACACCAAGTTTAACGAGTGCGTAGCCCGAGTAAAGAATATGGTTTTTCCCCACCCACAAGTGAAATATACATGTTTTATACATTGTTTATACATTGTATCTTGAAGTTCAAGTCCCTGTGTAATGTACGCCGATCTCTTCGTTGTTTTCATCAATGAATTAACCTGTAATGTTAGCAGGTTCACCCGTTGTCTGTATAATGTGACCGGGCGGAATGCTGTGATGGGTGCCTTTGGCATGGTGATTCAGTGAGACAGCACTATAAAGTCGCATCAGATCCGCGCTATCACAAGGAGGCAAGTACACCAACATACCCTGTCTCCAGCATATCTACACACATGCACGATTACACAACACACAAGGAGGCACGTCTTAAATTGCCTTAGCTGTTTATAGGACGTTAAACAAAATAACCAAACCTGCAATATTCCGTTTTGACCTCGGCGACTTTAATGTAAAACCTACCATGGCCAGTGTACCGCAAGCATGCTGCAGGCAGAACAGAGCATTTTTTTAAATGATTTTTAGGCGCATAAATAAAAACGAGATCGAAAATATATAAATTTCACGAATCAATATTAGCAAAACATTTCAACTGATAAAAAAGCGTTAACATTTCAACATATTGAACAATAACCTTCCACGTATATGTTACACAAAACAATAGGCACTTGTAACAACTCGGCTCATTCCGTACCTACATTACGAGAGGTACCGGAATTAGCCGAGAATAACAAAAGAATACGAGTTGTATTTAAGGATTGGTTGCCATATTTTTGACATGCATTGGTGTGTAACATACATTGGCTTGTAATATGGAATGATGCGTGCTAGAAATTTACTTCACGCAGAAATTAAGACATAATGTTAGTCTGAACACGTTTTAACGTCAGAGTAAATCCATACAGAGAACAACCACCAGTTGACAGTGGAGCAGTGCAATCTCCAACGTTACCGTTATGACGTCATAAGCGTAGCGACGTCACAATGGCCCAATGTATGTTATTAAACTGCAAAGATGTGGCAGACCAACTAGTATAACTGCCACATGTGTCACAGACAAACTTATCATGGTGCGCGCCACATCTATGCAGTTTATTGCTTATATTTATATTTCCGTAATGAGAATTCGCAAAATATAATTTATGTCTTTTCCAACTTTCAAGTTTCCCGCTGATTACCGTCATGTCAAATGATTTTTTTAACAGAAGGGTGTCCTTCTATAGAGCTACAAACTACGATATGGTGTTATTGGCCGAAAGGACATGGTAAAACATTTACTAAACCGTGCGCACGGATTAACAAACCGTGCGCACGGATTAACAAACCGTGCACACGGATTATTAAACCGTGCGCACGGATTACCAAACCGTGCACACGGATTGACAAACCGTGCGCACGGATTACTAAACCGTGTGCACGGATTACCAACCCGTGCGCACGGATTAATAAACCGTGCACACGGATTAACAAACCGTGCACACGGATTACCAAACCGTGCGCACGGATTACCAAACCGTGCGCACGGATTGACAAACCGTGCACACGAACTACCAAACCGTGCACACGAATTACCAAACCGTGCACACGGATTACCAAACCGTGCGCACGGATTACCAAACTGTGCGCACGGATTACCAAACCGTGCACACGGATTACTAAACCGTGCGCACGGATTACTAAACCGTGCGCACGGATTACGAAAACGTGCGCACGGATTACTAAACCGTGCGCACGGAATACCAAAACGCCGGGTGTATCAGTTACCAGGAGTTATCTTTCTGTTCACATTAGTTCTTCCCCGATATATGATAGCCAATTCCTACCGATCAACGGGAAGCCTACATTACGTAAGTATCGCGAACTTGACATAACTAACAAGGCAGATATGAAGATCTACTCAAAGAAGTTATTGATCCATTATTTGTTATTGATTAGCACCAAAATGTCCAAACATTTAGTGCTATTTATTGCATACAGTTGGTAAATTTATAAACGGGAGCACTTTGGTTTGCCATTTCTCATTTAAATTCGTTTACATGTGTATAACTCATCGCCCCTCCTCATTGGCTGATACTCTATATAGTAAGTGTGTTAGTATATTTCACAAACTGTGCATTATTGTATCGTTTCCCTCCGTGTTGTTTACATCTTATGTCAACTTATCACAAAACGCAGTGACACTATGAAAACAGACAGCAATTTACTCCCTCCTTTTGTCCATAAATTATCCGTGACATTTGGAGAAATTGGGTCGGTTAGGGTAAACTGCCCCGCCCATATTGACATTGGTGACACAAATCTCGTCAAAGTTTTGATAAATGGGTGACACTAAATATTGTAACGGGGTTATCACCTAAACTTCCACGCTACAAGTGGTCTCTGTCAAGTTTTTGAGATATTTTTTAACACTGGTCACCTTTGACTATATGGTGAATGCCGATTGCGATACACCGATATTATACGGGAGGGAAACCAGCACGATCCTATTCAACCCCTTTACGTAGTATTGGTGCAAGTCTGCCCCCGATCAATGCCACTCCTCACCCTAGTCATTATACCCCCGGAAAGGTTCAGTCAATATATCCCCCCCCCCTCCCATGATTGTTTTTGATCACATATGATCGATATCCAGTGTATAGTTCTACAGAAGAAGTTGTTTGTAGCAATATAGCCAAATTGACCCCTTTTGGCCCCGCCTCTCAGCCCCCTGGGGGGTTAGCCCCACCATTTGTACAATTTTGAATCCCCACCACCTAGGGATGCTTCCAGTCAAATTTAGTTGAATTCCAATCAGTGGTTAAGAAGAAGAAGTCGTTTAAAGAATTGTTGACGGACGGACGGACGACGGACGGACGACGGACGCTGCGGTATGGCATAAGCTCACATTGGTCCTTCGGACCAGGTGAGCTAATAAAAAGTATCGAACTGTATTATTATGAAGTGTGTTTTGTCATTGTTATTTCAAAAACTTGCTCCTGTGAAAGTTAAGTTTGCCGGCCATACATGCGAGCTGAAAATAATTAAAAGGGACCGTATCTTATCTGAAATCATACCGTGCCTTCACAATGATAATAATGGCAATATATGTATTCTAGCTGACAGAAGTGTACATTTTCATGACAACAACATGGCAATTTCCTGTCTTGGATGTAAAAAAGGGCATTTGCCGAGAGGACATCTTTTGCTGGATCCATTTGCCGTCTTCTCATAATATCTATACTCATTGCATAAACGTCTTCATCACATGGATTACGAATCGAAATGTTACTTCATCTACACACAGATCTGTTTCTTCATCTGTTACTGGACATAGCTTTTCAAAGGAACCCCAGAGGATTACGAGTATAAGCCATCAGATTTGGACGACCACTTGGTACTCTTCGATCATTTCGTGATGGTCTGATACATGTATGAGGTGAGTTCCAAACTGCCACGATATCATTAAGTTCATCCTGCAAAATGAATGGTAACTGTCATATTAATGCGTTTTTTTATTTCATTTTAATAAATCATCATACATGACTATATGACTATATCTATACATGACTATGTCTATCCCGCTTCCGCCTTCAGCTTTGCTTACTCTTCGTCTATTCCGTCTTTGCGTATTGCAGAGTTATCTTCTCTTGTCAGCAGGTATTGATTGTGACGTCATTTGTTTGTGTGAGAAAATTACGTCGTTTTCTCAAACTTTGATGACGTTCCTCTCACAAGCGAATGACGTAAC